CTCAGCAGCCGTCCCCCACGGCTGAGCTGCAGCCCTGGCTGCAGTGCCAGCATCCAGCACGAGGGTCAGGCATGGCACCGGGGAGCCCAGGGCAATGCCACCGTGGGATGGCACCGCTGTGCCAGGCAGGAGCCCGGGAGCCTTGGAGTCCCTCGGCAAAGAGCTGGCTCTGTTCGACCAAATGCAGCAGTGCAAGGAAGGGCAGAGGTTGGAGGAGCCAGTCTAACCAGTCAGAGCCCAGCCGTGTCTCCCAGTTGTGCTCACTCAGCACCTGGGGCTGTTCCCAGCCACACGAACCCGGCGTGAGCGGCACTCGGCACTGCCAGGACCAGCACACCCGCCAGGGGCTCACACAGCAGCAGCCTCTGGCTCGGAGGAATCCCCGGGCCATGGAAACGTCCTGCAGGCCCAAGCTGAGCTTCCCGCAGCAGCAGAGTGGGCTGGGCTGCGCAGGGAGCGGGTGCTGGATCCCCCCAGGCACAGAATCAGTGCCCAAAGCCCTGGGCAGCAGGAGCAGGGCCGGGGAGCAGCCCCCACAGGGCCCTGGGTTGCAGCTGTGCCCTGCAGGGACCAAGAGCCTCCTTCCCCCGGGCACGGCTCCCATCACCTCCCGTGGGTCTGTGCAGCTCCCTGGGGTCGGACTAAGCAGCTTTGGAGCACCGAGATGCAGGGACAGCACAACACGTGGACAGCGCGGCCAGGAAACCCTTCTGGAAGCCTTGGGCACATAAATACTCGGTCTAATCCGCGGAGGGGATGAGGAGCCGGGGCAGCCGGGGCTCAGCAGAAGCTGCCGGGCGGGCGGAAGGAAGGAGGGGAGGGAGCTGAGCTGAGCTGAGCTGAGCCTCGGCTCAGGTGCAGGGGTGGAGAGCGCCCGACCGCAGAGCCGAGCGCTTCCTCCCCTCTCACACACGGCCCCGAGCGCAGCGGGGCTCGGCCCGGAGCGCCCCTGGCACACGGGGCTGGGGTGGGCACCGGGCACCGGCAGGGCCGGAGCCTCCGTTCCCGGCCAGCAGCACCGGAGGGAGCCGGGCGGGGGCCGGAGCCTCCGTTCCCGGCCAGCCGCACTCCCAGCTCTGGGACTGTGCAGAGCAAAGCTGCCCAACCCAACCCGGAGGAGCTGGGCTGCACCCGGCTGGGCTGGGCTGGGCTCGGGGCGCTGAAATCCCCTTTGCTGGGCTCAGCCCAGCTCCTGCCCTGAGGGACAAGTGGCCCTGGGTGCCACAGGCTCCGCAGGAGGAGCAGCCATGGAGCACCTGAGGAGTTTCTGCTGCAGCCGTGCTGGGGACACACGCACAGACCCAGTTCTGATGGAGAAAATCCCATAATTACCCTCAGCTGCCAAGGAACAGCATCAGCTCAGGCGGTGAGAGGGGGAAGAGCTCCAAGGGCCTCTCCAGGGCTGATCTGAGGAGGATGGTGAGGAAGGCGCAGGGCAGGATGGGGCTGAGGGGGGTGCCAGGCTCCCGCAGTGCCTGGGGAGGGATTCCCTTCTCCCCCTGCTCCAGCACTCTCTGCCTGCTGTCTCAGGCGCTGCTCTGAGGGTGTGGGGCAGGCAGGACCCGCTCCCCCAGCCGCGTGCTGAGAGCCCCGTGCTGTCACAGCCAGGGACAGAGGCTCTCCAGTGCCTCTTCCCCCTCAATTTCTCCCGACTTGCCCGGCTCTAAGCAGATTAAAGACAGATGGTCTCTGAGGCTCCCTCACTGGCACCCATGGCTGAGGCTGCGGGGGGAAGGCAGGGCAGAAAAGAGCCCTGGGGAAGGGGGGGTCATTCCCCGAGGGATGGAGCATCCTGGGACCCGCTCCGGGTGCTGCCCTCCCTGCCCGTGCTGGCCGCAGCTCTGCAGAGCGGGGCTGCCTCCTTCCTCTGGGGCTGCCTCCTTCCTCTGGGGCTGCCTCCTTCCTCTGGGGCTGCCCCATTCCCGGTGAGCTCCAGCAGCGAGGGAGCCCAGCCGTGCCCCCACAGCAGCTGCTCCGGGTACCAGTGCCCCGTGCCCGCAGCAGCTACACAGACACCGCTCCACCGGGCTGTGTTAAAGTGCTGTGCAAGCACCCTGTGCGCTCCTGCAAGTGCCTCCTTCCTGAGGATTCTGCTCACAGCCTCCTCTGGCTGTGCTGGAGGCAGCAGCACAGAAAGGAGCTCACCTAACACGGCCCCGCGTGCAGCAGCAGCAGCAGCAGCACAGCCAGGCACTGTGAAGCCATTGAAATTTCCACGTGATGACCCAGTTCAGGGTGGTTTTGCCGCTGGATTTTCCCACCGCTGCTGCCTCTGGGTGGGCGGTGGCAGCTCCAGACCTTGCTGCTGTGCTGGATTTTAAGGCCACCACACTGACAACCCCAGCCCACGGTGCTTTCCCAAGCATCCCAAAACGCTGGGCACTCGGTGCCTGAGGGTGCCTGCGTGTGCTTCGTGGCACTGGGGGCTTCACTGAGAGCTTCAGAGGGTGAACACTTTCCCAAAGGGATTTTGCTGCTGCCTGTTACACTGGGGGCAGGGCACGTGTCACTTCAGCTGCTGCAGTGGAGGTGGTGGGGATGCTCCGGGGGGGTTTTGGTGCATTTGTTGGAGCAAATTCCAGCCCAGCTGCCACGCTTGACTCTTCCCTCACCATTCTGGACCAGCAGTCACTGAGCTTCCCCACAGCAGCGCCAGGGCTGAGCTGCAAGGCAGAGGGGCAGCCTGTATTTAGAAGGACACAATAATTGCAAGTCAGATTTGCTTGTTCAATACTCTATTGACAGATTTGCCTTGGCAACCTGGAACAGGGTTTCATTGTTCACATGTACTTCATGGCATCCTATTGATTGGGTGGGTGGGTTCAGGTTTTTGTGGATTTGCTGGTTTTGTTGTCTCTTTTTCCAAGCCTACCTACTCATCCTTTTCTTGTCTTTCTCCAGCACGGTGTTGACCTCAGCAAGGGCTGGGTCATAATCCGTTTTTCAGACTGGCCACAACTTCCAGCGCAAGGCAGAGCTGACAAAAGCAGAAGGGCAAATCCTGGAGCCCAGCTGGCCGGGGCTGAGGGCAGCCAGGTAGGGATGAATGGGGCCAGTGCCCTCCCCCCTGCTCCAAGGACATGGCAAAGCCGCTGCCTGGCCCCTGGTGCGAGTGGCCTTGAAGGAAACGCTGTAACTATTCATGAATTAACTTCTGTTATTATTTGGTGCTCAGGCGTGCTCCTGGCTTTGCAGACCCAGCAGGAACCCCCGGCCTTGCTGGGGCAGAGGGGAGGAGGAGGTGAGCACCCAAACTGCAGCCCCGGAGCTGGGGGATTACAGCTGGAAAAGAATTGCTGGTTTGAATTGCTAATAACGATACAGACTAATGAGCAACATCAGAAATGATGGCATGTGCAATCAGTGCTGCTTGATGGCAAACACGGAGTGGGGCTGCAGGAGCTGCTGGGCTGAGGGATGAGGAGCATCTCTCAGAGGGGCAGCGCCCACCCCAGGCAGGGCACTGCACGGAGCTGGCTCTGACTCTGGGCTAAAACCTTTATAAATAACGATGGAAAGAGTAAACACAGACAGACAGACAGACATCAGCTCTGGGGACACGGAGGGAACACGGCCAGCAAGTGTTGGAGGGGAAATCACCTTGGTGTGGTTGCCAGCGCCCGTGGGAGCCCATCTGCCTCTGGCTGTGGAGGTTTTGTCTCCCAGCTGCACCCCAGCAGCCCCAGCGGGGATGGAGCCCCCATCCCGCCCCTGGGACTGAATCTCCTCTGAGAGCAGCAGCAGCAGCACCGACTGCTGCCGCTCAGCAGAGAAAGAGCAGCCTGAGTTCCTGGCCAGGTGTGCGGTGAAGGGCAGGAATGTGTCTGTGCCTCGTCCCTGCCTGATCCACCAGCAAGGAACTGCCCGGGGCCACCCCACTCCTCTCCTGGCTCCAAAGGCAGCGCTTGGCTCCTGCTCCTTTTGCTTGGAATCCCTTCTCCTTGTCTCATCCCTGTGATATGCCCCAGCCAGTCAGCACGAGGCAACAGTTGGAAATGCTTCCCACTTTCCTTATTTAGGCTGTTTTATGCGGTTCAAATAAGGTGTCCTCTTTGGGCCTGACAAAGAGAAAGATGTATCAGTTCATGAACTGCTGCTGCCTGAGCAAGGTAAGAGACAGAAAATCACCACCATTACCATCATTATTGTGAATCATGTGCAATCAGCCCCGTAACAGAAAGCAGATGAAGATCCTACAGGAACCCGAAGGACGGGAGCTGCTGCTGAGCCACGGGAGCCAGGGGCCAGGCAGTGATTAAAATGCTTTTAATATTGGTTTTCAGTGTTGTTTCACTTTTATATAAATTTATATATATATATATATATATATATAATTATATTTCATCAGCAGTCTCTTGTATTGCTCCTGAGACAGGTTCTAAAAGATGCCAAGGATGTCTGGTCACACATTTAATTTTTTTTTTTTTTAATTTATATTTATATATATGCAGCCAGCCAAACTCTGCCCTCCTCATCGCCTGTTCCCGACTGGGTCCCGGGGAGAGCGGAGCTTTCCCAGCCGGGCGGGATCCGGAGCTGGACGTGCTCTGCAGCTTACCCGGGCTGGGGAGGAACCGCACCAAACCGTGCTCGTCCCTGGGCATTTAGTTTTATTGCGAGCATTAGCGGTTTGTCTCCTCTGGCAACAGGAGAAGCTGGAAATGTCAAAGGGGAGGGTTAACAAACTCCGCTGGCATAAATTTCAATGAATGTATGTTTCTTAGGAAAACCGCTAAGTTAAAAAAAAAAAAATTAAATCTTCCTGTGTGTGTTTTCCTTGGGCTGCTGTTCACAATGGATAATAATTCTTACATTAAGCCCCTTCGGCCCTCCAGGGAAATCAAAATTGTAATATCAGTTTGCTTTTTATTGGCTCAGCTCTGCGATCGCGGCGGCTGCGTCTTTGTTAGGGGCTGCGGCGCGGTGACATTCAGCGGTGCCTCCCGGTGCGTCCCCTCCGGTACCGCCGGGCCCGGCCAGGGCCCCCGAGGGCGCGGCTGATGCGGGCCGGGGCCGGGCGGCACCGACCCGGGGCAACGAGGAACGTTCTGGGGCCGGGGGCGCTGCCCGACCCCGGCAAAGGAGCCGCTCCGGGCCCCGCCGCTCCCGGCCAAAGTTGCGGGAACCCCGCGGGGATCGATCGGCCCGGCGGGGACACCACGGCCCGGCGGAGCCCGGGGGGACAAGGGGGACGGTGGCACCGAGACGCCACGCCAGCCCCAGGGACCGCCCCGTTGTCAGCGGGCGCGGAGGCTCCGGTTCCCCCGGAGGCACAGCCGGGCACCTGCGAGGACCGAGCCCCCAGGAGGGGTCGGGGGCTCCTCGCCCCCGGGTATCACCCCACGCGGGCCGCGGCCCCGCCGTCCGGCCGGGGCTGCGGTGCCCGGGGCGCTCCCGGAGCGGCGGCGGGAGGCCCGGAGCTGCCGGCCCGCACGGCGGGGGCTGCACGGGGCTCACACCGGGACGGCCCCGGCCCCGCTCCACCTGTCCGGGGAAGGCGCCTCCCGCTCCGGCACGGCCACGCGTGTGCCTCCCGCTCCGGCAGCCGCGGACACGCGTGCGCTCCCCGGGAGCCGCTCCACGAGCACGGAGCCGCCCGCACCGCGCTCCCCGAGCGGCCCCGCGGCCGCGCGCGGCTTCCGGCACCGGGCGGGGAAAGCGCCGCCACCTGCCCCGGGCCGGGCCCGCTGCCGCCACCGCCGGCCGTCCCCGGGCGGGCGCCCCACGGCCGCGGGGACCCGCCGGGCAGCGCGGCCGGGGCTTCCCGGGAGGGCTCGGGCCCCACGGGCCGTGCCGGGGGTGGGCGCCGCCGCCCCCCGGGCCCCGCGCGACGTGGCGCGGCGTGGAGCCCTCCCGAGCGCCCGTCCCGCCGCGCATCCTCCGGCCGGACCCTCCCGCCGACCCCGCTCCCCCCGGGCCGCGGGTCGCGCACCTGCCCCGCGGGCTGCGCCGCCCCCCGGCAGCCCCGTGGGGCCGTGCTGAGTCACGCGTGGGGCGGGAGCGGGGCCGCCCGCGCCCCCCTCCCCGCGCCGCCGTGCCCGGCCCCCGCCCGCCCCCTCCCCGCCTCGCTCCCCGGCAGGGCTGCGCCAATCCCCCGGCCCCGCCGCTGACGGGCAGCCGGGCCCGGGAGGCGCCGCCTCCCTGACGTCTCGCTCCGGGATTTGCACGGTTGCGGTGCCGCCGCTCAGTGTATGTCGGGCCGGCGGCGGGAGCTGCCGGAGCCCGAGCCCAGCTCGGCTGCAGCGCGGCCCGGCCCGGCCCCTCCCGGCTGCGGGATGGAGCTGCCGGCGGTGGGCGAGCACGTCTTCGCGGTGGAGAGCATCGAGAAGAAGCGGATCCGAAAGGTGCGGGGGGCGGCGGCGGCGGGGGGCGGCGGGGCCCGGGGGCGCCGGGGGTGGCGGTTCCCGCTGACGCCGTGTCTTTGCCTCCCGCGCCGCTCAGGGCAGAGTCGAGTACCTGGTGAAATGGAGGGGATGGTCGCCCAAGTGAGTACCGGCACCGGGCGGGGATGGGGCCGGGGATGGGGCTCCGGGAAGGGCCCCGGCCGGGGCGGCGAGCGGGCGGCGAGAGGCGGCGGCGGGGCCCGGCGGTGACGGCGGCGGGAGCCGAGCAGGCGGCGGCTGATGTGCACCAGAAAATGGCTCCTTCCCCCTTTCCCTCCTCGGGAGTCGGGCTCCATATTGCAGAACCGAGCGGGGAGGGGGGGGCAGGAAGGGGGGAGAAAGGGGGAATAACCGCAAAAATCGTCCGCGTCGCCCCGCAGCCCCGAGCGAGAGCCGCTGCCGAGGCGGGGGCAGCACCGGCACCGGAGCGAGCGCGGCCGCTGCGGAGCGTTCGGGGTTTGCATGACAGTGCGGGCGGGGGGGGCGCGGGGGGGTCCGGGACGCGGCGGCCGGGCCGGGTCCCTCCTCCGCCCCGCGGCCGCTTTCCTGGGTCCGGGAAAGGGGATTTGGAAAATTTCATCATGACATGCCTGGAATTCCTCCGGAATAATAACTGCGCTAAATAAACAGTACCGTCCGCGCGGCGCCCCCCCCCCGCCCATCCCCCTCCCCGGGACCCCGGCCCCACACCCCCACACCCCCACACGCTGCTCCCGCCGGGCCCGGTGCTGCGGGGCGGCTCTGCCCGGGACCCCGGCCCCGCCGGCAGGGCCCCGCGGTGACGGCCGCTCTCCTCCCCTCTCCAAGATATAACACGTGGGAGCCGGAGGAGAACATCCTGGACCCCCGGCTGCTCATCGCCTTCCAGAACAGGTGAGCGGCCGAGCCTGGGCGATGCGGGAGGGGCGGCGGGACCCCCGCTCCGCGCCGCTCCCGCAATTGCAGATGCGTCACGGAGCCGGGGGCCGCGGCGGGGGCGGGCCGGGCCGGGCCGGGGGGCGCGGCCCCGGCGGGGCGGGCGGTGCGGGGCCACCGGGCGACGCCTCCGGGTCAAGGTCCCCACGCCGCGGTCCCCCCCGCGCCGCGCCCCCCCAGCCGCGCCTCGCGCTCCTTCTTCCCGGGATTCGATGCCGCGACTCGAGGAGGCGGCGCTGCTGCTGCTGCTGCTGCTGCGCTTGGACGGGCTTCGGCTTTTTTTTTTTTTTTTCTTTTTTTTTTTTTTAAGCCTTTTTAAATTTTTTTTTTCTCTTTCCGCGCATTTATTTCCTGGAGTGTTTTGGCGCAAACTGTGAACTTCAGCCCCTCCCCACAGCGGGGAGGCAGCAGCGGGGAAGGCGCCTGCTGCTCGCACAGGATGCCCCGGCCCGCTGCCACCTGCGGGCCCCGGTCCCCTCCCGCTGCAGGGTCACTGCCACCGCGGGAGCTGCCGTGCGGGACGGGGGGGTGGCTCCGGGGCTCCGTGTGCCGCCCTGGGGCTCACCGTGACGCTGTGTTCCCGCAGGGAGCGGCAGGAGCAGCTGATGGGATACCGCAAGCGGGGGCCCAAGCCGAAGCCGCTGGTCGTGCAGGTAACGCGCGGGCCCAGCCCCAGCCGCCGTCCCCGGGGAGCCGCTTGCAGCGGGTTTCATCATGCTCAGGATGAGCCTGCGCGCAGCCCCGGCGCCTCGCAGCGCCCCGGGGACCCCCAGCGCTGAGCTCAGCGGGTGCCCCGGCCCCCCTCCCCTCCCCTCCCCTCCGGGCTGCAGAGCCGCCGTGCCCGTGCCCGGCTGGCATTAGCAGGCTGCTCGCGGGCTCGGCAGCCGCGGTCCCGCTCGGCCCCCGTTCCCAGACAGCTGATTGAAGGGGGCTTTTCTTCTTTTCATTGCTTCATTAATCTGGAGCAATGCACAGCCTCTAAGTTGGAGTGGGCTGGGGCCGCCTGCTCGAGGACGCGGTGGCCCGGGATGCGGCATCCTGTAAGGAAGGAGAGCTGCCGGAGGGGCGGGGGCTGTGCCGAGCCTTCAGCACCTGCCGGAGCTCTGGCACCCGCAGGCAGCGGCGCCTGGCAGGCTTCTCCAGCCCTGTCTGAGCGCGGCTCTCGGTTTTGCCTTGCAGCTCCCGTCCTTCGCCCGCCGCTCCAACATCCTCACGGGGCTGCAGGAGCCGGCCGTGGACACCAGGCCCAAGCTGGACCTCGGCTCCTCTGGCAAGAGCCAGCAGCACCAGTATGAGCTCAACAGCAAGAAGCACCACCAGTACCAGCCCAACGGCAAGGAGAGCAGCATGAAGCACCAGTCCCACAGCAAAGGGAAGTATTACTACCAGCTGAACTCCAAGAAGCACCACCACTACCAGCCCGACCCCAAGATGTACGAGCCCCATTACCAGCCCAGCAGCAAAGAGCCGCAGGGCCAGGCCTGCTTGGACAATAACAAGGCCCCCCTGGTCGCCCACCCGGACAAGTGGGCTCACGGCCCAGCCAAAAACTTGCTGGGTCCGGTCAAGAACCTCACAGCAGAGAGCAAAAACGGAGCTGAGAAGAACCTGTCCAGCGGTACCGGGCCACCCCCCCGGGACAGGGTGACCAGCAACGGCCTTGGGGGAAAGATGAAGATCGTCAAGAACAAAAACAAGAACGGGCGCATTGTGATTGTGATGAGCAAGTACATGGAGAACGGCATGCAGGCGGTGAAGATCAAGTCCGGGGAGGCTCCCCGGAAGCGGGCCGCGGAGGAGAGGACTCCTAAGAAGGGTGGGGAGGAGAAGGTGGAGGCTTGGAGGAAGCCAGGGGAGGACAGGGTGGTGGGCAGCACTGCCCTGAGCAAAGCAGAGGGCGAGAGCCGGCAGCCCCCTGCGGAGCTGGAGGAAGGTCCCCAAAAGACTCCCTTGGCCAAGGAGCTGCCCCTTCCTCCGGCGGAGCAGCCCTTGCAGCTCACCACCAAGCCGGACCTCGTGCCCTGGTCGCTGAGTCCCGTGTGCGAGCACAGCCCTTCCTCCATGGGACTGAACCTGGCGAGCGGCAGCTCGCGGAAGCGCTGCCTGTCGGAGCCGCACGCCGAGCGGGAGCCGGGCAAGAAGCGCCTGACGTCCCGCAGCATCAGCGCCCCCACCTGCCTCAGCCCCCCGGCCCCCGAGCCGCCCGCCCAGCCCGAGGTCATCCTGCTGGACTCGGACCTGGACGAGCCCATAGACTTGCGCTGCGTGAAGCCGCGGCCGGAGGGCGAGCTGGCCCTGGCCGAGGTGAAGCCGGAGCTGCCGCCGCCGCCGCCGCCGCCGCCGGCCGAGGAACCGGCCCCGGAGCCTCCGCAGCCCCAGGAGGCCGCGGAGGAGGAGGAAGAGGAGGAGGCCGAGTCCCTGCAGGAGTTCAAGCCCTTCTTTGGGAATATAATTATCACAGATGTGACCGCAAACTGCCTGACTGTGACCTTCAAGGAGTACGTGACGGTGTGAGGTGGGGCGGCAGCCGCTCCCCGTGGGAGCTGCCCGCCCATCCCGGGGCCACCGGCCCCACCGCCTCCCTCCAGGTACCGGTGCCCCTTCCCCGGAGCCCACGCGCCCCTGGACGGCCGGGCCCGCCGTGTGCAGCGAGGGGACGCCGGGACAGGGCCAGGCACGGTGGCCGTCCCTGCCACGGGGGGTGACCTCGCCGCTGCTCCCGCCCCGCAGCTGGGGGCGGCTCCAGGACCTGCAGGCAGTGGGACGCGCAAGGATGGGACCCGCCAGTTACTCAGAGTTATAGTATTATATTTTAACAGTGCTAACTTGTCAAGTGATTCTTGCTCCCGTTTGTACGTGGTGTTCTTGAAATGTATTGTTTGAGCTGAAAGCTGGTCGCTCCCTGGCCACGCTAATATATTTATTTGTAGGTATTTATATAATGAAATATAAAGCCTAGATTTATGGAGTCCCTAGATCACCTTATAAACTATATCAAACGACTATTTTCTGTTCTCCTTTTTAACCATTGAGCATTTGTTAGTCTTGGTCCCTTGCCCTCCCCACGACCCGCAGGACCATCCCGTATATATTTTTTGATACTGTACACATGTGGTGTTTCTATGTGCAAAAAAAAATCGTTATCTAAAGCTAAACGAGCTATTATAGAAATTGCTGCTATTAGAAATGTCTAAACTATAAGCTTCCAATTATTAATTGCTTGAATGTAAATATTAAATGGAGATGTTGAAAGTGCATTTGATGTTCTGCAGCTAGTGTAGATCGGAGTGCAAAGCCCAGCTGCTGCGAGCTGCCAGCGGCGCATCCTGGTCTGAGGGCTGTGTCACAGGGGAAGAAATGTATCATGCAATCATGGCAAAGGACTATAAACCTTTACAAAAACTACTGGGATTTGGAGTGCATTTGTTACAGCATGACGGATGGCAGGTCCCTGTGTGGGCCTGCTGCAGCTGGGCTGCCCTAGAGCCAGTGCCTGCAGGTTAAAATGTTTACTCAGAGGTGCAGTGTTTTGAATATAATTCAGTTTTCACCCCCAGGGTGTTGTGCCCACAGTGCTGGGGGCACCCTGTGCCGTGGGTGGGCAGCAAGGCCTCAGGAGCCTGAGGTGTGGTGCTTCCCTCTGGCAGGGCTGGGGGAGGCCAGCGATGGGGACCTGAGACAGCTGAGGAGGCACAGGCTGGGCAGGTGGCACAGTGATGGGCGATGGCTGCCACCCCAGCAGTGCCACCCCAGCAGTGCCACCCCAGCAGTGCCACCCCAGCAGTGCCATCCCAGCAGTGCCACCCCAGCAG